AGATAACTATTTCGAATACAATGGTATGTATAGGTCATATTAATAAATCCTTATATCACCCGCTGAAACAAATTAATGTCTCTTCATGACAAAACAGAAATTCTACGTAATATATATAATAAAATTACCAATTATTTTTATTGATAGTAGAAGATATGAATAAAAAAATAGAGTCATTTATGAGCAAAATAAATGATTTTCTTCAAATCAAGATAATTAAAATTCAAGTGAGTTTATAAATATGTCTTTGTGTGTTCTTAATTTATGATTTCAATCTTTCCCAATTCAAATTAAATTTATAGTAAATACAGGACTAATTACGGCCCATATACAAATATAAAAAAATAATGTTGTGAAATCATTTTTATAACATTATAAAATAAAAAATGCTGGTCGTATACATGGCTCAATAAAAATTATTATTTGTATAATTTAAAAAATTTTCTTTTTACTCCTTCATTTATTTTGTATTGGTGGTTAAAATCAAATTTGTACAGTTTTCGTTAAAATATTTTTATTGTTACTTCAAAAATTTTTTTATGCACAATTGCATTCGAGCGTATAATGTAAAAGCAAAAATTTATTAAAGACATCAATTAATCATTTTCCTGTATTGTCATTATATAAAAATTTTAACAATATGCTTTAAAATAAAGACATCCCTACGACATTTATTTTCGTATAACTTCACGTGCGTGCAATATGATAGTGGTAAATATTTCTATAAGATTTTAATCTATATTTAAATTCACTATGTGGTGTCCCGATAGCACTGGGCGTTATTATTTAATTTACAAGTGAAATTAAAGTCAGAATTGATAGATATTATAGTTTTATTTTTATTTATAATACGTCTACTGCTGTAGTAGGTCTAGACTGACTTATTCGTGTAACTACATTTGTATTTGAAGACCTCATTAGTTTTTTATTAAGTACTAATGTTCTTTGATCTCACTAGCAGTAGGCGGGTACGGTGTGAACAGAATCTATGATATTGTTCCTTGTGTAAAAACTCGTAAACAAATATATTTTAGTTTTTATCATATACTTAAAGTTTGCACCCTTAAATTTTTTAAGATATACCCTATAAAATATGTTTTTAATATAGGAAGGTAATTAAGAATCAGTTTATAAAAAAATTTATTTATTTTTAACAGACCAGTATGCTGTATAATAATACATCTTTAATAAATGATACGGTCTATGATGAACAAACCAGAAATCGTCTAGAAAACCTTGTGAATTCGTCTTTATGGAAATATGTCGAAGAAGAACTTGTTCAATCGTACTTCCCTAGACTACCCCATACAACAATTTACGATTTCATTCTTAATTCAACAATGTACAGGAGTGATATAGAATTCACTCTTAAAAAAGCAAAAAAAATCATGTGCAATCGAACTTATAAGTATGCGATTTTGCTAATGGTATATGCCTATGAGGCACTAAGAATTGATCATTGTACAACACCATATTGGGACCAATTAATATATAATTTAAACAAATTGAGTAGTACACTATTAAAGTTGAATGGGGACGAAATATTAGAACAAGAATTACATAAAATTCATGAAGTAAATAATGTATTTGATATAATGTGTGTTTTTAAAGGATTGGTAAATCATTATACAAATATTTTCTTAAGACCCCAACAAATTGAAAATAATAATTATAAAAATAACTATATATGGGAAAATATTAAAGATGAAGACATTCTATCACAAAATTTATTAGATAGAATATTAAAAGGATTACCAAATCCTCGCAAATACAATTTTGAACGTATACCAGTAAATGTATGTGGAATAGAAAGNATACAATTTTGAACGTATACCAGTAAATGTATGTGGAATAGAAAGAAAATTTCAGCAAATTTTTAAGTTAATTAAGGCAGAATTCATAACTATTCACGTAATATATATTGATATTTGATATTTTTTTCAGTATGATAGATATTTATTTTTCTAAAATACTTATGGTAATTCAATCACACTTGTAATCAATAATTTATTCAACCATTTTTAAATTAATAAAAGACAAAAATAATAATTTTTTAAGTATGAAATAATTTATACATATGATACTCATAAGGTATATTGTCGATATTTGTCATTATAAAATGTATTTTTGCTAAAAATCGTGTGATTTCTTGTTTTAAAATAAAAACTAGAGCATATTATTCATTTTAATAAAAATTGTAATAATAATTTGCTTAATGATTATAAAAAAGAAGATAATTATAGTAAATCCAGCATAGGGGGGTCGTGGCACTGTGGTAACGTGACATAGTTGGATGAAGTATAATAGTATCTAACAGTTGTCATAAAAAAAAAGAGAAAGAGTAGGGGATATTTAAAAGGGGGTTTTTTGTCATAAAAAAATGATAGGGATTATTATAATAAAAAGATGATGAAGGACATAAAATAAGTGGCCATACGTGTGATATTTATATTTTTTTATAATTAAGAAAGAGAAATAATAATAGAATGTAGATGTTATAGTTAACGGATTGTTTAAGTACGTTTAGCTACAAGGTGAAAATATAGCATACAACATATATATCCATGAACTCTTTATTAAGATACTACCACTACGTGTGGTTTGTCGTAAAAAGTAAATTGAAGGAAAATTATAT